TATTGAAGCACAGTATTTTCCTAACGGTGATTTTTTCAATGTTGTTCTTAATTGTGTAACATTATTTTAAATTTTCCTTCTTTATTTATAAATTTATGGTCTTAATATTGAGCACTATACTATTTAATTCCTTATTATTCTTTTCTCTCTTATTGTCGCGTCCCATGATTCAATAATAAAAGGATAATTATGAGATAATTATTGGCAGCCGCGGTTTAACACTCTCTTACAAAACAAAAGGTTGCACTTACGAAGGACAGAGAAAGAGGAAGAATGAAATCCCTTGGTGTGAAAATGGTAGTAGAAAAGTACGCAAAGTCGGCAATTAGTAGTGAATTTCCTTTTGCGAATTCTAATGTATTTGCAGGAAAATTGGCATTTCAAACGAAGTATTAAGAATTATACGTGAATTTTGTAATTTATTTCATTGGTCAATTGTGCTTTATTTGAATATAAAAATAAACATATTGCACAAAAAACGTATACTTCTATTTCACACGTACATAAGCTACTATTTTTTTAATTTGCAAAGAAGCAACACGGTGCCACGGCTAAGGGAGCTGTGCGAGAGAGACAACTGTCAGTTTATCGAACCATTAATTATTGAATTATGTGTGCACCCACCACTGTCGTACACGGTGTAAGCGATGCTGCAGTCACAATAGTGCTTCAGTACAAAATAGTGTGGCTTAACAATGGTAAATTAAAAACAAAAATAAAAAAACAAATTTCTTTACTTCAGAGGAGCTATGACTATTAATATTACCTAATAACCACTCAGGGGACCTCTGACTTTTCAAATGACACCTCATTAGTGGAACTGCTTACATAGGAAAATAGAAAAAGGGAGACTAACGAAAAACACCTTAGAGAAATAATATATATGATTATTTATCAAAATAATGTGATTACACATCAGCGTTATTTACATCATCATCACCATAAACTCATCAAATGTTCGGCTCGCTCATGACTTTGTACGTGGAGTATTTGTAAAATAGTTTAATTGTGTTGATGGGATCATTTTTATTGATTATTGCGTTTCAGATTACGACTAATAAAGCCCTTGGACAGATATTGTGAAAGGTTGGACTATACTAGATGACTGATTTTTCACGGCCCACTGTACGAAGCTTTGAATAGAGTTAGGTCCTTAAAGAACTTAAAAATTATCCTGGGTTATCAGAATCTCTAGCAATACGTTGTCTTTCACGAAGTTCTTTAAATAAATCTTAAGCTAAACACTGAAGTATATTCATGAATATCACGTTTTATTATATACGTAAATTTAAATTCCTAATATTAGTAAATATTTCTTTCCTGCATTCACACGTATTTCGGGGGTTACTACTAGTTTTAATAAATTTTTAGTTTAATTTCTTATGAAATTTACCTTAAGGTTTATGCACCTTAAGTATACATCGAACATTTTTTTTTAGAGAATCAATGTGAAATAATTGCAGAAACGATTAACCGGTTTGCTGAGCAACCGAGACGTCTGCTTTTAAAAAAAATTTTGTAAAACAAATCGGCAAGTACATATCGTCCCCACATACCATTAATATGAATGTGTAAAGATGAAAATTTTGGAAAATCAAGTTTGATAGTTTTTTTTACGAGACTTAACTTTGCATTCATGTAATTGACATGGTGAAATATGTAGTTTCAGTGTCCGCATGGTATTCTGGGTTCTGGGCCCTTACTCTGTAGTTCGAGTCGAACGCTTGTTCTATTCGAAAGCCAAATTCGAATCGAAGCGCTGTTCGTACTCCATAGTTCGTTCGAATCAACTGTCGAAGATATTCGAAAAAAGAGAGCAACACTGTTCGTGAAATGTCGAACGTAAAGCAAAATGAGGAAAGAAACTAAAATCAAAAGAAGAAGATGATATTGCTAACATTGCGATTGTGAAGCACAGTACATACTGTGTTGTGAAGTTTGTGCATTTAAAAACTCAGTAATTGTTGCGTTAAATTTATTTAATATTAGTGAAAGTCCTTGATAAAAAAAAAAAAACAAATACCAAATGTATTCAGTGGCGATTTGGTTCGAAGTAGATGCAGACCAAATGGAGGATAGGCCAACATATTCATTCTCAATTGTAAAAGGCAGGTGATCTAGCAGGCTCAGTCGATCGTTGTCAATTAAATAATAAATTTCTTTTCTGAATATATCAGTTTCCTTTTAACTTTTCTCGGATTGATATGTAACCTTTGCTTGAATATAGAACTTAACCCAGATATGCCTAAAGCTAAGACAATTAAAAAAACTTAAATTTTCGATCTGTTTTCTAGTTTTTATTGTTAAGTAAAACATTCTTAGTCAAAATTAATTTTTTATTTATTTCAGTTTTGGAAAAAAAGGTGTACTATGTATAGTACACTAGGCACATATATGTACATAAGTTAACTTTGTGTGATATGCGACAAAACATTTTGCATGAAGTCCAACGTCACACTTTCGGCATCTAGTGGTTGTTCGATCATGACATTCCCCACATCTTGTTTGCTTAGGTTGTATTATGATCAAATGGTCAAGGCGATCGTACCTGATATCAATATTTACCAATGCCGATGGTCGTCCCCTAGATGTTGATGGTGGTTTTCTATTTTGCGTCAACAAAACCGTTGCAATTCGTCTTTTAAACTTCAACAGATCAAGGACACCCCCATTGTTTCGATGAAGATGCCATGCGTTTTGTATTGCCAAATCGACGCAGTGGGTTATAAGTGGAAAATACCATTTCTTTCCTCTGATAGATGTTCTGTAAAGGCCAATATTCTGGTCTGATCGATCTACACCCCCCATATTTGCGTTGTATAAGCGAACTAAATGAGGCTGCTGAATCTGTAAAAAATAAAATTACGTGCATTTAGATGACACAGTATGTGTTTCATATTAGCTTACTGTTTACCTGAATATGTTTTCCCTCTTTTCGCGAAAATCTTCTTACATTACATATCGGGTTGACTCCAGAATTATTTGATCATAAGCATACTAAGTTGTTGTCGTTCCATTTGACGACAATGATATTATGGTCAGTTATTTTAGCGAAGTCAAAAGACCCACGGTCTTGCTTTTTTAGTACTTTCGAGTCGAGTAATGGATTGCCGGATACACGATTTTCTCTTATCGTACCTGTTGCTTGAAAACCCATGTCTGTAAGTTTCTCCATAAGTGGAATAGTAGTAAAAAAATTGTCGAAGAATATGTGCATTTTTTCATCACGCCATTTCTTGCGCAGCGTCTCAGCGTATTCTAGAACAACGGCAGCACCTACGCCATAGTTGCTGTATGTCACACTTATGTTTGTTGATGCTCCTTGATAAGGCTCAAACCAATTTACGAACCCTAGCCTGGTTGATCCTACCCAAAGCTTATACCCATATCTTATTGGCTTTCCTCGTAGAAACTGCTTGCATCCATGCCTTCCGAAATAGGGAACCATAGCCTCATCAACGCAGTGCATTTCCTCCATCTGATTATTTTCCATAAACTTTCTATTGAGGTGGTCAAATAAAGGTCTTACTTTCGAAAATCGGTCCGCGATATCTAGATCTTCATTGTTTTTACATGAATATTTGACAATATAAATTCAAATTTATCGCGTGTTATACATTCTGCAACAAGTACGTTATGGCTGTCGTTTTCTCTTTCCCAAAACATTCTTCTCCTCGGGACGCAAACATATCCACTCAGGATCAACACCCCTAAAAATGCTTTTATTTCTGTCTTATTCACTCTTTGTGATCGATTTTTTTGAGCAGCGTATCTATTAGTTTCTTCGACTATTATATCTATAAGCTCTTCGTCAAAAAAGCACTCAAAAAAATCCAACGGACTTTTCATATTTTCATTCACTCTTAGATCAATTGGATCAGCAGCCATGTCAGAAATAAGTCTTCTTTCGTCCAGTTATACCTTTTTTGTTTCTTCGCACTTAAGTTTTTGTCTGCAGGCTTTTCAGGGATCAATTGAGCTATCGGCAGATCATCATCGGACGAAAAGTCACTGTCGTCAACGCGCCGATTCAAATTAATTTCGGCAGGTGCACGAAGTTGCAACCCTGGCAAATCGTTTATGTGAACTACATTTTCGTCACCAGAATCTTCATCGGTTACTTCTTCGTTCTCAGGGGGAAATATTGTTATCCCAGTAGCTTTTTCTAAAATTTCGTCGTCATCTTCTAACATACGTAGAGCCTCATTTAGCGAAAAGCCTCTGAAATCAAAATGTCATTCGCGCATATATAACTATAATTTTCCCATTATAAAATCCTTCCATTAAATTTAATATATAATTTCAAAAATACACTCTCTACAGCCAAATTATAAATTAGGAATGAAATGGTTGTGCATGTGCCTGGTGTACTACATGTAGTACACCTATGAATATGGCGATAAAAGTTGAACTAAAAGTAAAATAATGACAAAGCTTTGATAAATAACATAAAACTATATCTTCTGCCTTAGTAGATTTTAGTAGTAGACCTAAAAAAAATTTCTATAAAACATAATTTGTACTTACCTTACAAATCTTATATCGGAGTAACTCATTTTTCACTTTTCCACAACTTTGTAAACACACAATGACCGAACTGCGAATGTAAAATTTGAAATGAATAAAAGTGAAGCTCGCTCGTTACCATGGCATTGGAATTTGAAATCAAACACGTGCATTTGAATTCACGGGTTGCTGCGAAAAATACTTTTACAAGTGTACTATGTATAGTACGCTAGGCACATCTGGGTTAAACCGAAGATCGGCGTTTATCCTTGACAGAATCAGAAGTGGGATCGAGCACGTTTACAAGAGTTTAACGGGATAGAGAACTGCAACGAGTGTTGATACGACCAACGGCGAATACAACGGAGAACGACGCAGAGCATCTCAGCGTATTGCGCAGAACAACGACATCTAGGGAACAGCGTGTTAAGGAACCAACGACGGAGAACGGATCGCACACAAACGCTCAAAACGACAACGGTACAGACATAATTATGGTAAAATTAGCCAATTTGAGTGTAGCGCAATTGAACACGTTATTGCGAGAAAATGATGTGTCGGTTACTGGAAATAAAGCACACAAGGTGGCCGCACTGATGGCAGCCCTTGGTACAGACGAGGTAGAGGTACAAGAATTACCAACAGTGGAGCCTTGGGAACAACCGTTCAGCCAACTTCAGGAGCTTGTGTTAAGTTTAGCAAATTCAGTGAAAGCAATAGAAGTTTCGCTAAAGCCGGCATTGACGACACAAGATAGCGCAGACGATGAGCAGGCAGAAGCGTTGGCAGCAACGGAGAATGGAGCGCGGGCTCCTGAACCTTTATCGTATCAAGACCGACCAACACAGCGGTCTCACACACATACAATCACGGAAGTGGTAGGAGTTCTTCCGGAGTTCGACCCGTTGCGGAAAGTCATGACGGCACAACAATTTGTTATTAAAGTTGAACAATTGCAACAAGTTTACAAATGGAAAAAGGAAATAGTGCTTCTCGCGGTTCAACATAAGTTGAAAGGAGTTGCCAAGACGTGGTTGGACGCACAGCCCGTATTTGGATCTTGGCAAGAGTTCGTCCAAATGTTGCTACGAGATTTTCCATATACCGTATCGTCAGCTGACATTCACCGAGAGTTGGCAGCACGACGACGCAAGATTAATGAGCCTCTCATCGAGTATTTTTACGATATGTTAGCCATCGGCAGACGTGGAGATGTAGACGAGGAGTCTATAAACTCCTACATCGTAAACGGACTGAATGACAGTGCACTACCAATGAATTAAGACAGTCGCTTGAGAATTTGCGGATATCGACGCAAGGTGGTGGACAACGTACTATACTGGGTGTAAATTCAGCGGACGTCAGCAACGGAGCAGCAGAAGATAAGGGTAAGCGTGTAAAATGTTATAACTGCAATGAGTTTGGGCATATAGCGGCAAAGTGCCCCCAACCTCAGAAGAAGCTACGATGTAGCAAGTGCTCTAAAGTGGGGCACGACGCTCGCAAGTGTTCAGCCGATTCGAAACATACGGTTGCCAAGATTGATGGCAACAATGGTGTGCAGCAACAGGTACCGCCCATAATAGAAGAAGTTGAGTGTGAAGGCAGTAAGCATAAGGCCTTGATAGACACCGGTAGTGATCATTCGCTAATAAGGAAATCAGCAACGGTGACGAAGGCGAACCATATGCCAACATATCAACGATTAAAGGGGTTTGGAGGTTCTACGGTTGAGGTTTTGCGTGTTATAAATACGCAAATAAAGTTAGCAGACAAGGTTATCAGTGCTAAGCTGTATGAGGTACCAGATAGAATGCTCAACCGTGATATGTTACTGGGAAGGGATGTACTGTGTGGTCACGATCGTCGGCTGATCATTGATTCGGGTTCGATGATGTTGCAAATTAAAAGCGGGACACAGTTTAACGTCAGCAAGGATCTACAGCAGCAGCAACAGCAGGAAGTGCTTAAATTATTAAATGAGTACGACCAATGTTTTTCCGAAGGAATTTCCACTCTGGAAAGGTCCAGAACTACAACAATGGACATTGGTGTTACAACAGAAAGCTCTATAGTAGGTAAACAGTACCAGGTACCATTTGCAAAGCAATGCGAGCTATCGAGAATATTAAGAGAACTTTTGGACAATGACATCATCCGACGTAGCACATCACCACACGCCGCTTCTGTAGTGTTGGTGACAAAGGCAAATGGAGAGAGTAGGATGTGCGTAGATTACCGCGCGTTGAATGGGGTTACCGTTAAAAAACATTTTCCAATGCCAGTGGTTGAGGAGCAGTTAGCTAAGTTAAGCGGCGGAAAATTTTTCACTACATTGGATATGACCAGTGGATATTATCAGGTTCTGATCCAAGAAAATTGCAAAAAGTACACAGCGTTCCTTACGCACGAGGGACTGTATGAGCATAACGTGATGCCGTTCGGGCTAGTCAATGCACCTATGGTATTCCAAGAAATGATGGTACGCATGGTGTCGGCGTTGAAGAACAGGGACAAGGTTATAAGTTCTGTGGACGAATTGATCATAGCTACTTCGACTTGCGAAGAAGCAATGTTAGTTTTACGAGAGGTACTGGAAGCGGTAAAGAAAGACGGTCTTACGCTACGACCGTCCAAGTGCCGATTCTTGGCGAACGAGGTAATTTTCTTGGGCCATAATGTGACTGAAACAGGTATATCCCCGGGAAAAGCGAAGACGATCTGTGTTGAGGAGTTTTCCCAGCCAACGACTATTACCCAGGTAAGGCAATTCCTGGGTTTAACAGGATTCTTTCGCAAATTCGTAGAAGGGTACAGCTACCTTCCAATTCCGCTCACTATGTTGCTGAAGAAAGATGGCTGTTTCCAGTGGGGTGCATCACAGCAAAAAGCTTTCGAACGATTAAAGGAAGCTATAACGAGCAAACCGGTGCTGACGCTATACGATCCTCTTAAACAGCACGAGGTACACACTGACGCTAGCCACCTGGGACTCTCCGGAATTTTATTCCAGCTTGAAGACGAAGATTTGAAACCAGTGTTTTTTTTTTAGTAGGCAATGCAGCGAGGCAGAGTCAAGTTTTAATAGCCACGAGTTGGAAGTTTTAGCGATAGTTGAGACGCTTTCACATTTCCGCATGTATCTTTTGGGAAAACCATTCACCGTAGTGACCGACTGC